TTTGATTTCTTTGTATGTATGGATCACTTGTGTTGTTACCAACATCTGGTGAAAATTTCATGTCATTAGCACCTCTAGTAAAATATTTACTGAGAAAAATGTTGACGTGTTCAGTACTTATTTTACCCGCTGTAACTGCCCATTTCTCCACATTCCACTTTTGGACTTAATCCTCGTTTGGATGTGACGGGTCACCACTAACTCTCATTGGAAGATGACTCCCCTAACCGCTGATCCACAGATAAGACCAGCTTGTCTTTTCACATGTTGACTAACAAGCTCTGTTACTAACTCCCTTGGCAGCTCAGAGGCATAACAGCTGCACGCTGACTTTTTCCTCATCATTCTGAAAAGGAGACGAGCAGAAAAATCCACATGTGGTTTGGTCTTTGTTTTTTCTGTTTTAAAACAAAATCGCAAAAAGAAAACAGCTGTGGGTTTTTGGTCAGTGTGTCTTTTGGTCATTGGATTTTCATTCTAGAAACGGGTATTAAAAAACAAGAAACGAGTGGATGTTTGATTTTTGTTTTAAAATATTGAAATTAAAATTTAAATACAAAGCATTTCTCATTCTTTGCGTCAAAAAGGGATGAATGGAATTTTAAAAATGATTTGAGTTTTATTTTCTGTTTCTGATAGCATAAAAGAAAATTAGTTTAAGGCAGAAACAAAAAAAGGCTTGTTTGTTCATAATCTATGGCAGGTCGTGCCAACTTACTGTCTCCCTACAATAAACTGTTTCACCACCAGAAGGGTTGTTTGCATTGATGTTGACTTTGGTATCAAATAAATTTGCCAAGTATTTATTTGGTATCAGATCAATGTCAAAGTCGTAGTACTGCTCATCCTTCGCTGAAAGAAAAACTCCGAGGACGTGAACTGACAGGAAAAAAAAACAAGCCCAGATTTTGTCAAAACTCAGGAGGGAAGAAAAAAACTTTTTTTTGCCACTTCAGTAGAAAGCAGAACTGAGTATCAGTTTCTTAACTTCTTCATCATCAGTGACATTTTTTTCCTTTGTGCTCACAGAACAACAACTGTACAACACACTAATAGAATGAAATTTGTCTTAATTTCTTTTTATTGAGAGAAATGGAGATGAAACATGGAGGCAGTAGCTGACATGTATTCAGTAAAAGAGACTTATTTGGCCAAAAACCACATGAAGTATCTCTGCAAAGCCTTTGGTCACAGAGCGACAGTCATCATACAACTCATTTATGGACATATTTCTCTTTGTTTCAGCCTTTTATTTACAGAAATCAGTGTTTCATTATGCAGAGCTGCCAGGCGAGCGCCCCCTCTGGTGGGGGAATAGATAGTCGTAGAATAAAAACAAACAAACCTTTTATTTTCTGTCTTAAACTAATTTTCTTTTTTGCTATCTGAAACAGAAAACGAAACACAACTCATTTAAAAATTTTCATTTATCCCTTTTTACACTAAGAATGAGAATGGCTTTGTATTTTAATTTTAATTTCAGTATTTTAAAACAAAAATCAAATATCCAATTGTTTCTTGTTTTTTTAATACCCATTTTGAAAATGAAAATCCAATGACCAAAAGACACACTGACCCTTTTTTTCATTTCTGCCTTAAAC